CTGCTCTGCTCCACCTTCCTTTCTTCCTCCGCCTCCTTTGGCCCATCTGTCCGAGTGCACAGGCGGATGGGCTCCTAACCCACTCCTAGCTACACCCTGCTTTTGGGAAGTCTGCAAGCAGGACCTGAGTGCAACAGCACTCTCCTTTCTTGTGACTTCCAGCAACTGGTATTCAGAGGCAGGAGGGCAGAGATGCCAAGCCCAGCTGGACTGGCCCCTGGCACACATGGGGTCACCAACTGTTCCGTGGGGAGGATACAAAACCCCTTTTTATATATGTGGAAACTATTTTTTTTCGTGGCTTTAAAGAATGCATTTTGAAGTTACTCAGCCTGCCTTAAAAGGATTGGTATCCTGAAAGGAGAGATATAAATAACTCAGATTAATTCCTCCTTAGTGATGTATGGAAGTGAGAGCTGGACCATAAAGAAGGCTGATCGCCGAAGAATTGATGCTTTTGAATTATGGTGCTGGAGGAGACTCTTGAGTGTCCCATGGATTGAAAGAAGATCAAACCTATCCATTCTGAAGGAAATCAGCCCTGAGTGCTCACTGGAAGGACAGATCCTGAAGCTGAGGCTCCAATACTTTGGCCACCTCATGAGAAGAGAAGACTCCCTGGAAAAGACCCTGTTGTTGGGAAAGATGGAGGGCACAAGGAGAAGGAGACGACAGAGGACAAGATGGTTGGATAGTGTCTTCGAAGCTACCTGCATGAGTTTGACCAAATTGTGGGGGGCAGTGGAAGACAGGAGTGCCTGGCGTGCTCTGGTCCATGGGGTCACAATGAGTCGGATACGACTAAACAACAACAACAACAACAATTCCTCCTCTTTGAACTCTCCTGCACACCATTCCTCAGGAACACCAGTTTGGGAATGTCAAAACCAGGTCCAAAATTGGGGCATGGACAGCTTTCAGCTCCTTTGCATCTTTTACAACCCCCTCTACTTTTCCTTAAAAAAAACCCATTCCAATTGGCTACAGCACTGTACTGTCTCGACTGTGTGCAGCTTTCGCAGGCACCTTCTCCTTGGAGACCAACCCTGGAAGTTGAGCCTGGAGCCACCCATACCTACGCCATCTTGGATGCTGTCCTAATGAACCACAGTGCCGCCTAGGGCTACTTCACTACTGGGCTTTATGGCTGAGAACCATTGGATACTACCTTAAACAAAGTCAGCCCATCAGTCTAGCTCAGGATCAAAGAATCCCAGGAGCTGCCAAGAGTGCATGTGCAGCAGCACAACTAGATGCCTTCATTTGCCCCAGCTGCAACAAAACATCTCTCTCCTGTATTGGTCTCAACAGCCACAGCAGGCGCCGTAACCTTCCAACAGATTGACTTCACTCCTCCTGCAAGGATCCTGAGATTACATTAAGGGTAGCCAAATTCTGTGCGATTTTCATAAAACTTAGGGAACAAGCTGTGCTATTGTAATGATTAAGGCCTTAAATGATAATTTTAGGTTATATGTTAGTGACTAAGTTTTAATTTATATATAGTTTTAACTGTTGCTATATCTGTATTGTCCATATTATACCTAATTGCAAATTCAAATGTATCCCTATTGTGTTTTATGACGTCCTTGATATTGTATGTGGGCTGGAACTGGTCTGTGACCGAAATAATAAAATTCATTCCTTCACTCCTCCTTTGTCTACTGAAACAGGATAGCTCAGCTGGTTGGAGCCAAGGCTGCAGGTCTGATCCCCGTATGGAACGCCAGCATATTCCTGCATTGCTGGGGGTTGGACTAGATGATCGCCAGGGTACCTTCCAACACTAGAATTCGATGGTTCTAGGAAAAAGACGAATGCCAACTGCTTCTCTTTGGCCTCCTGTTACTGGATGGTTACAGCATTGCTCTCTCTAGCATGGGAGGCTTTTGGTTCCTTTCAGTCTAGAACACCAAGGCCCCATCTGCCCCAATCTGCCCCATCATCCCCCTTTAAGCAGTCATGGCTTCCCTAAAGATTCCTGGGATCTGTAGTTTGTCAAGAGTAAAGGCAAAGGTAAAAGGACCCCTGACCATTAGGTCCAGTCACGGACAACTCTGGGGTTGCGGTGCTCATCTCGCTTTATTGGCCGAGGGAACTGGCATACCGCTTCCGGGTCAGGTGGCCAGCATGACTAAGCCGCTTCTGGAGAACCAGAGCAGCGCATGGAAACGCTGTTTACCTTCCTGCCTGAGTGGTACCTATTTATTTACTTGCACTTTGACGTGCTTTCGAACTGCTAGGATGTCAGGAGAGTTTGTCAAGAGTGCTGAGATTTATAAGGAGATCCAGATTCCCCTCCCAGAGCTACAATTCCCAGAGTTCTCTGGGAAGAGAATAGTGGTCTCCTAACAACTCACCTTAACAATGAATCTGAATATTAACTGGGGGGAACACAGCTGTTTAAAGTGGCATGGTACTGTTTTAAATGTATAGTGCGGATGGTCCTTAGTTACAGGATTCTCTGAAGCTTGCCTTTACATCAAGGAGGCTACCTCAAGGCTACCCAGCTGTGTGACCACTGGTGTTGTGGTCAGCTTTGAAGTATAGTATAGGCAATTTTTTGTGACAGCCCCCATAACTACAACCCTCCACAAAGAGTCCAAGAAATGCAGCTGTGTTGATCCACTGCATAGCCACTCACATCAAAGAACAGCAACACATAGCATAGTACCCAATTTATTAGGATAAGCTGACAGTCCTGGAATAGTATAAAATTTGTTGCACTGTGCAACAGCACAGGATTGTTGGCCGGGTTGTGAGAAGAGAGGGACTTTTTTCCACTTATGGTGGGGATATCCCCTGGTTTCATCATTTTGGTCTGATTTCTATCAGGAAATATAATCAAACCAAGTCTCTCCTTTGCTGAACATGTGGGATGATCAAATGCAAGTTTCTCCTTCTAAAGAACTTCCGGTAGGGTGTTGACTACAGCCAGGGTTCCCATAGCTCAACAATGGAAAACACTACAAAATGTACACCTTTCTTTATGGTTCAAAAACTTGTGGGGTTTGGCTAATGCAGAAAAAAAGCCCAAAACCATAAGCTGCAGGTCTGAAGAGGGATGGAAATCCCAGAATGTTTATATGACTTTATTTCCTGTTTTGCATTCAGATGCACAACACTCGCTATCTGTACCATCTTAGGAAATATGGCTTTCTTGAGTTATTCTTGTGTGTACCTATGGTACTAGATGTCCTGCGCTTCTAATGTAATTTAATTTTCCAGTAATTTAATTTTCCAGTATGGTTTATCTGTATTTGTTGCTATATGTCAATAAATAAACATGGTTGCACTATGTCGACAGATTTTTAATGGCGCAAACCCAAATTTCCTCTGTGCACTCCTGCAAAATAGTGACAGTCTGGAGGCAGAATTGTTGTGCTATTTAAGGATGCTTGTAAGTCCCCCTAGTGTTAAAACGACACCTGTGCACTTCACTTGTGCATTCCCCTCCAAGCTCACCTACCTACAGATGACTTAATAGGCAGGTAGGTTAAGAAACCTCTCCCCTACTCTCCAAGATACACATTGGTGGAACCAGCCATATGCTCAAGTGCCGTGATGTCACCCAGTTAATATCCCCCCCTTTTCACTTTTCGGGGATAAGTTAACCGATGATCTCATGCATAGCTGTGAGGTGGCTCAGCCTTGCCATTTGGGTGGGTTGACCTTTAAAAAATTTTTTTTAAAAAAATGTGTGGGTTTTGCTTATAAAACAAGTATGGTCAAAGGACTAAGTAATTTGCTCACCTGGTGAGGGACACCCTGGGTAAATGAGCGCAGCTATCCATTTGCAATGAGTAAACTGTGTTATATTCCACTTGGCCAAGCCAAGAAAAGAATATATCTTCTTTTGAAGTAAATAGTTGCTTCTTCTTTTTTGCATTTTCACTTTATAACAATTGTCAGCTTCAGATTGTTCCTATGGCCTTGTCACCTCCCAGTTTACCCCTTTTTTATTATCTCTCATTGGTTTTATTAAAGTTTTCTGAATGTTCCAGTGTTTTGTATTGTAAAGAACTATCCTACCTTTCGTTTTACTTGGTTGCATGGTGCTGAAACAGAACTAACCTTTGTTTGAAGTCTACATTGTTATGTTGTTCTGACATTTTTAGGGGTGTGCTGGGAGGCTCGGCTAATTAGGCGTTAGAAGCACACTTGAACTGGAGAAAGTGGGGAGCCTAACCAGGCCAGAAGCACCCACACAACCACTTGACACCCCCCTTTTTCTTCACACACTGCTACTTCCCTCTGAGTTACTAAGCTGGGTCCATATTTTCTCCTATGCCCATGTGCTTGTAAAGCGCTTTCCTCCTTGCCCATGTGGCTCCCATCCCTCTCTCCCTTCCTTGCGAGTGGATGTATTTGAACCACAGTGGGACTTGCACTGCTGTCGGAGATGTCTGTAGTTGTTCAACTTTGTGTGCACTGTACCTTTAGAACACATTCAAATCATATTCTGTTCCTCAAAGGACTCTGGCTTCTGTAGTTTACCTGTTGCACAGCTACAGTACCCAGCAACTCTTAAATTACAGTGCCCAGAGTTCTTTGAAGGAAATAAAAAAGGTAAAGGGACCCCTGACCATTAGGTTCAGTCGTGACCGACTCCGGGGTTGCAGCTCTCATCTCGCTTTATTGGCCGAGGGAGCCGGTGTACAGCTTCCGGGTCATGTGGCCAGCATGACTAAGCCGCTTCTGGCGAACCAGAGCAGCACATGGAAATGCCGTTTACCTTCTCGCTGGAGCGGTACCTATTTATCTACTTGCACTTTGACGTGCTTTCGAACTGCTAGCTTGGCAGGAGCAGGGACCGAGCAACAGGAGCTCACTCCATCACGGGGTTTTGAACCACCCACCTTCTGATCGGCAGGTCCTAGGCTCCGTGGTTTAACCCACAGCACCACCCGCGTCCCTTGAAGGAAATAAGGTGATTCAAATGCTTTGAAGTTAAAATGTGTATAGAGCCTATGCTGGGGTATCTCAGTGGGCGCAATGTAGGCTCTTAGCTCAGTGGTAAAGCACCTGCTTTGCATGCAGAAGGTCCCAGGTTCAATCCCCAGTCATCTTCAGGTACGAGAGAGAAGGCCCCATACCTGAAACCTTGGAGGCCACTGCCAATGAGTGTAAACAATGCTGAGCTAGAGAGAACCAGCGGTCTTACTCAGATTAAGGCAGTTTCCTACATTCCTCTTCCTGGAAGCATACTTGTGGACCAGTGTTTCTCAAACTTGGGTCCCCAGCAGGGCCAGCGGTCCAGGATGATGGGAGTTGTAGTCCAACAACAGCTGGGGGACCCAAGTTTGAGAAATATTGCATGGACTGTGTGGGAGAGGTATGGATGAAACAGGAACTCCAACATCTCCACAGATTTCCTGCCCTCACCATGTACAGTGGTACCTCGGGTTAAGTACTTAATTCGTTCCGGAGGTCCGTACTTAACCTGAAACTGTTCTTAACCTGAAACACCACTTTAGCTAATGGGGCCTCCTGCTGCCGCCGCGCCGCCAGAGCACAATTTCTGTTCTCATCCTGAAGCAAAGTTCTTAACCTGAAGCAATATTTCTGGGTTAACGGAGTCTGTAACCTGAAGCGTATGTAGCCCAAGGTACCACTGTATTGACTAGTGCTTCCTAGGCACCCTCAGCAAGTGCTATTGTGATCGGTGGATGGAAACACACAGTTGCCCTTTTCAGCCTACACTGGAAACTGTGGCTATTGTGCTTTCACATAGCTGCTAGAGCAGCAAGGGAAGCAGCATTTCTTGCTAGCCCAAGCTCTGGTATAATAGCAGTCTTCCGAGCTGAAAGGCTGCATGCCGTTTTGGGAACAAGTCCCACTGAATTCCTAAAAAAATAAACATGCGAAGAATCACTCATACTGTACGATTCCTTTATGAGAGTAATAAATATTTTAAAGGCCCAGTTCCACTAAGAACTAAGTTAGACTTGCTGAAACTAATCTACCTAATGTAGATGTGCCTGTTAATTTTAACGGGTCTACTCTGAGTATAATTGCTGTTTTGTGCTCAGGTTTTCCTTCTCTCCCATGCCATGTGGTTATATCTGGTAGCAAAAAGTCATTACAAATTAGGCCACTTATTATTTAGCTGCTGAGGAAAGAAATAATCAGGTAAAGTCCTCACACCCACACCACACCCCAAAAAATCCATCCAGTAAAAAACATACAGCACCTCTAGAGTTGGGAGTTTTTAAAAAATTACTCTTTGCGGATCAAACTCATGTTTATTGTGAAACACAATCTACTTCTGAGGGTAACTAGGAGTTTCCTGGATATGATTCATAGCTTTTAACCAAAGTGCTGCACTGCATCTTTCGGGGCAAGGGCTCCAAGAGAACAACGGAAAAGGCATTATTTAAGAACTGGGTAGCAGAGCAAACCAGTCCCTTAGCAAGAAGCAATTTGGAGTTCCCCTTCGTAAGGAATTTTCCTATGATGGAAAATACCAAGGGAGTAGTAGACACGATGTCAGCACTGCTTACCAGTGAGGTAACCCACCCAGACAGGGGTAGCTCCTGGATGTTGTGCTGCTGGAGGCAAAATGCCTTGCTGCTGCCTCCTGCCCCATCCTCCATCGCCACAAGCTTGCCCTGCCAAAGCCATGCCACCGCTGCCACCACCCACAGCAAAGGAGGAGGCGGCAGCAGTGAGCAGTGTGCTCCTCAGGCCCAGATCTGCCCCCTGAGGCAACTGCCTCAACTCGCCTCATGGGTGGGCCGGCGCTACACCCAGTGATGGGCCACGAAAATGGGTGGTTAAGAACTCTGCAGGGACTTCAATGAGATGGCAAAGCCGACATGTTTAAATCAGAGAAAAGTCACAGTTAACATTTGTTAAAGATTGGAAACCTCTCATAGACTTTTTGCGTGGGAACAAAATGGAAATAATGATATCTGGATTTGAGGAGTGGAGATCATGTTTGTTTATAGGAAGTGCCTTTGTTGAGTGTTGCAATGGATTGGATGAAGTGATTTATTTTTAAAAAATAGTGGACACATAAAGAATCAGAAGTTCTTTGTTTCTTGAATATTATTTTTCTATCTTGATCTTTTAACCTCTTTTCTACACTTTTTAAAAATTTCTTTCTTTTTCTATTTCCCACCAGCTTCTCAGGTTTTGCTGATAAATAGCTTATGAAGCTATCCTTGGTCTTCTCTTGTAAAGAAAGGAGGGGCACACATCACCACTGCTAATTACTTAAGCAGTGTGTTGGCGAGAAACCGCAATTTAAGGACAGAAGCAAATGTTGACAGATTCTCCTTACATGGGTACCTATGTGAAAAAAACTTTAGAATAAGGATTCCTGTGCTTCCTAGCAATCAGAGGAGCACAATATTAGGGTAGGAAAGAGGCTTAACTGCTGTTTGAAGGCATTATCACTTTGGGAAGGAAGTCCGCACACATTTCTCTGATAAAATAAGCTTAACTACAAGGGATCACCGACTCAGCTCCTGCGCAAATTAAACCCTCCAACATCAGACATAGCAGATATAGGCCGACCACCTTTAAAGCAATTTTACCCCAGAACATTGCCTCCAAATTCTTTGTGCTCTGCAAGAAAGTTGTTTCGAAGCCAGTGATATAAATCTAAAAGTCACAATCAACTCGGAAAAGATTAATTTCTCTCCAATAGTTTGGACTCCGTCCCTAATAAGCCTACTTAGGCTTGCGACATTCACTGTATCCAACGTGGAATGCTTTTCTGACTACTGTTCTTAATACTACGCTACAATTAGATGTGGCTTGCCTTAAATTCTCCACATATTCGTGATGCAATAAGCAATCCCCACAATTGTAAATGCTTCCTGCCTTGCCTCTTAGCCTAAAGCCATTTCTGCCTATGCAGAGGTCTGCTTGCAAGCCACCTAACATTTCCTCAAAAGTAAATCCCAAAGTAGGGGTGTAATAAGAGTGCAGCTTCAAAGCAGTAAAACAGGCAATATCCCTCCCCCCCCCAGCATCACATATTCATGGTGTAGCAATTAAACGAAAAACAGAACAAGGCAAAAGACATATGTGTGTCTTACCAGTTTGCTTTTCTTATCCATGGGTTGAACAAAAGGCTGATCAGGCCTATTTTCTCTTTCTGGTGGTCTCCGAAACCTTTCCCTCTCCTCGTGTGAGATGCGGCCACCCTGAGTCTGGCTTGTTTTGTTTTGTCCAGTGTATCGTTTGCGTTTGAGACTGGTCCGGTGCAGATGAACTCAGGGTGCCAGCTGTCCCCGAAGGACAATGGTTCAATGGGAAGATGTCTTTCAAACAAAGGAGCTGCTTGCAGGATTGATTCACTCGCTCTCCCCAGACCCACACCACACACAACCTTTCCCTGAAATGACTCCGTGGAAAAAAGTGTCATCGCTTCCCACCCCCCACAGAGGCCGGCTTTTGAAAGCATAAGCTGGCTAGGCAAGTTTAATGAGTTTGACCACCACCAGCAACAGCAGCAGGAGCAAAATTCAAGGGAGGGTCTCTTATCCAGAGGTAACACAATGCATAGCTAGCCGGATTCCACTGGAATAGTTTCACGGGATGACCTTTGGTAGAATTGCTCAAAGCCCTTTTTTGTGGTAAAATGTCCTCAACTTATCAACAGCCCAGACTGAAAAATGCAAAGACTGCTTTATAGCAGACCCTCCCTGTAGAGGGAACCAAAAGTACCTGAACAGCACAACCCTACGCATGTTTACTCAGGCCACGCACACACCATACATTTAGAGCATCCCCTCCCTGCAAAAAAACCCCCAAACGCACTGGGGAACTGTAGCACGGTGAGGGGTAAACTGCAGTTCCCCGCATTTTCGCAGCAGGCGACCTGGTTTAAACATAGGGTGTGCTCTCTTTAAGTTGCACTCTGTTCAGTGGTATTTACTACCAGGTAAGGCTTAAGGCTACAACCCTATGCACACAGAAATGTGATGAGGCAGATCTGATAATGCCCCTAGGATTGCAAGCATTTTATAACAGCCACCTGTCCCTGGGTCTTAGTAGCAGTCGGACCTGCACCTGCAGAAAATAAGCAGGTGATGCTTTTTGCTGGTGCAGAGATGGATTTTCCCCTACCCCCTTAACACCTGGCTTTCTGCCTGCCAAGCTGTTCTTAAAAGCACAGGAGCTGGACCTGTATAGAAAAGGGGGGAGGATGAGAGGAGATGCTCCATGCATTCGCCTCTTGGTGCGTTAGCAAGTACCAGACAGAAACTAAAAGCATGGGTGAAGTCAACTTTAGGGGCAGACTAGGCTCAGTAAACGTTATGTTGTGCTTTTGTGATGCTTCAGTGGCACTGTTTTCTTCTAGCTGCATAAACGATAGATAGATAGATTAATTAAATTTATATTCCACCCTTCCTTCCCAAAGGAAACCAATTCTGCACAATCCCGGTTCTGCAGAGAAGTTGGAATTCTGCAACCTGCATAAATTAGGCAAAAGGAAGGGGTTTGTTTGCCAGTCATGGATAGAGGCAAGCAGCCATGTATGGCATCGAAACCCCAATCCCTGGAAACCTCATTCGCCCATGCCTCTCTGGCTTTTGAGGTTTCAACAAGCACTACTAGCTTTGCAAACATGAGAGCTAGAAACTTGCTATCTTAAAAAGGAAAAACATGAAAGCTGAATGAACATTGCATTTGTACCCAGTTTCAGTACATGGTGGCTGCTGGTTTTCCAGGGACTTGTGAGTTAAACGTGGAACTAAATTCCAACCCCTGCCTTATCTTGTTTTTATTTATGAGTCACCAACTCATTGTGATATTTTGAGAAGCAGAGCAAAATATACTCAGAGCTGCATATTTGGAGAAGGCATCACAAGGTCACAGTTTCTTTCTGAAAACTGCTTACATGTGAAATATGAGCGGCATGGATGTCTTTCCGCAGAAATTGTTTAACAGCTAATCCCTCTTCCCGAGAAACTCTGGGAATTGTAGTTCTGTTAGGGGAATGGGGGGTCTCCTAACATCTCCCAGCACTCTTAGCATACTGGGAGATGCTTTTGGGGAAGCCATAAAGTGGCATGATCCTGCTTTAATTCTATAGTCCAGATGGGGCCGAAGTTAT